GGCCTTCCTGCTGCATCTCCAGCTGCTGCCGCCCCAGTTGCTGTGTGTCCAGCTGCTGCCGCCCCAGCTGCTGTGTGTCCAGCTGCTGCCGTCCAGCCTGCTGCCAGACCACATGCTGCCGCCCAGTCTCCTGTGGATCCTCGTGTTGAATTTCATTCCAGCTCACCAGCCCTGCATCTGCCACCACGCTGACAATGTATTAGTCTTTCTCATTTCCCTTGTCTACCACACCTGGCCTTGTTCTGATTTGCTACTACCTGTAGTCATTCCCATCAGTCAGTCCACCAAGAAAGTATTTAAAAAGCAATAAGTTACACTAGTATCACACAAAATCATAAAGTTCTATGCCTCTCGTCTTATCAGCCTGTCAGATGGTCAGATTGTCTCACATTGCTTCTGTACAAGGTCTGGACTTTGCAATGAATTACGTCTGATAAATTGACTATGTCTCAATAAATACTCTCTTGGGATCAGAAACATTTGTGGCCTATAAGTATTTTTAGTGTTGATATTTATTTGAAGAAAAGTTTGGACTTCTATCATGTTAACAATAAAAACTGATTGTACATGTACCCATCAAAGCCTATGCTATGGAAAATGCCAAATGCATCATTTTTCCCCCAACCAGATTGTCCACTGTATATGCCATTAAGTTTATTGAGACAAAACAGGAATTTCCTTTTTACTATGATTGAATTAAGGACCAACTAACAAGAAGCCCTGGGCTGTGGGAAGTACTTACAATGAATGGGGCCCAGTTTCCTCAGGGGAACTCCTCAGGTAACTCACAATGAAATCTTGGATTTAATAGGAGCACAGGTCATGTTGACTATGTTGGTCATATTAGTAAGAAAGAGGAATCTTGAGTCTACCTTATAGGGGTACAGGTGAATCTTTCTAAGACTAGAATGTGAAGGTTTTAAAGCAATGACTGAGAAAATGACATGAAGGCTGTGTTGACCAGTTTGATGGAAGTATTTCGGATTGCGTGTGAAAACCCTACAGTGTACCCCAGAAGTGCATTAATGTACATAGTTATCATTCAATAAAAAAAAATTTAAAAAAAAAAAAAAAGAAAGAGGAATCTATTCTATTGGAGAAGAGTAATAAACATATAAAGATTGATTCCTAGAAATAAAATGTGTCAAGTCTGAAAATTCAGAGGAATATGCGTACAGCTCACAATCATGTAAGACAGGACTAAGCGAAAGAGAATTCAATGATAACTGAATGTTTATATTCTTATGAAAGGAATTTATATAAAAAGCAGTACCAACAACCAGTTATAGTCCTTTTAAGGAGAAGGAATGGTTAATTCATGGAGTGGGACTAATTACGATGGGTCCTATGAGAAAACAAGAGCCAGGACTGTGGCCTGAAGCCACAGATGCAGCGGGAGGATCAGTGAGCCTGAGGGTGAAACTCGTTCACGGGAAGGAAAGTGAGAGAGGTGAGGTTGGAGGTGTGGTGGAGGTGCTTGTTGGACATGTTGGTGACACACAGCCATCTGTGCTCCGTTAAAGCCCCAGAGGCAGGGTGTGCCTGCAGATCCAGCCGTGAGAACTCTGGAGGTTAGAGCCCACTCTACTTGACCCAGATGAAGTCACCCAGCTGCCTGTGCTTCCTCTATACCTTTGAGATTCCCTTTTCCATTGTCGTCCATTTATATTGTATTTCTTATGTCCTTTCGTTTCCTTCCTTCCTTCCATTCTTTCTTTCTTCTATTTTTTTTCCCCCACGGAATCTCACTCTGTCACTCTGGGTAGAATGCTGTGGCATCATAGCTCACAGGAACCTCAAACTCCTGGGCTTGAGCAATCCTCTTGTCTCAGCCTCCCAAGTAGCTGGGACTACAGGTGTGCACTACCATGCCCAGGTATTTTTTCTATTTTTAGTAGAAACAGGGCTTCACTCTTCCTCAGGCTGGTCTTGAACTCCTGAGCTCAAGCAATCCTCTCACCCTGGCCTCCCAGAGTACCACTAGTATTACACTGGTGTACAGTTGTGGGCCACCACGCCTGGCTTCCTATGTCATCTTAGGGTTTCTCTCTGTCTTAAAATGACATCAATAGGCTAAAAAGCTCTTGGCGGAAGCTTTTAATTGGAAAGGAAAATAGATATAGCGTAAAACTTAAACTACATATTTAGAAACTAACATGGTGATGCAATTCAAGAATCATATTCTTGGGCTCAGGTGCCTAGACTGCCGTTTATTCTAAGACCACCAACTGCTCTATGCACGTACAAGCTGCTTCTCCAGCAGCCTTCCTGAAGAGCCCAGGCCTGAGAAATGTGCCACAGTCTCAAACAGTTATGCCTTTTGTTCCTTCTCTGTATATTGCAAAACTTAAAAAAAATTCTGTGTTCTCTTTTGCAGCATATAAATATACAGAAATATATATATATCTTATACGTTTTCTCAATTTTTTTTACACCAATGTGCCTATCAGCTTTATTTGTAATAGCCAAAATTGTGAAACAACACAAATATTCATCAATTAGTGAATGGATTAAAAACTGTGTTGTATCTATGTGATGGAATTATTTGGGAATAAAAGGAAAAAAATACTGACACATACTATAGCACAGATGAACCTCAAAAACATGTTAAGTGAGAGAAGTCAGATATAAAAGATTACATGCTAGGCTGGGTGCCTGTAGTTCGGTGGTTAGAGTGCCAGCCCTGGGACCAGGTGGTTAGAGTGCCAGCCCTGTGCACCAGGGGTGGTGAGTTTGAACCTGGCTCAGACATGAAACATTACATGCTAGGCTGGGTGCCTGTAGCTCAGTGGTTAGAGTGCCAGCCCTGTGCACCAGGGGTGGTGAGTTTGAACCTGGCTCAGACATGAAACATTACATGCTAGGCTGGGTGCCTGTAGCTCGGTGGTGAGAGTGCCAGCCCTGTGCACCAGGGATGGCAGGTTCAAACCTGGCTCGGGCCTGCTTAATAAGAAAAATTACATGCCACATGTTTAATTCATATAAAAATATGGAATGCTTCACAAATTTGCATGTCATCCTTGGGCAGGGGCCGTGCTAATCTCTGTATCATTCCAATTTTAGTACATGTGCTGCTAAAGTGAGCACAAGTGTCTTAATTTTTAGATTTACCATTATCATCAGGCAATATAAATATAACCTCCTCATTTTGACTATTTATTCATTCATTTTATTGTTTCAGGTTAATTAAGGGTATAAAGAATTTGATTACAATGTTTGTGTTTGTTAGGTTCAGTCTTTCTTATTATTGTGTCCCCCCCCACAAAAAAGATGTGCCACACACCCTAACATTGTGCCCATTAAGTCAGAGCACACTCCTCCCCTTCTTTCCTCACTTCTCTCTGCTCCGCTCCCTCCCCACCTCGCCCCCACCTTGAGTTGATTTGAGTTTTTCTCTTATGTGGGTGTGTATTAGATTGTCTATGGGCTTTATATTGGAATTGAGTGCATAGGATTCTTACTTCTCCATTCTTGTGATACTTTACTAAGAAGAATGTGTTCCAACTCCATCCAGGTTAATACAAAAGATGTAAAGTCTCCATCTTTTAATGGCTAAATAGTATTCCATAGGATACGTATACCACAGCTGGTTAATCCATTCCTGGGTTGGTGGGCATTTGGGTTGTTTCCATATTCTGGTGATTATAAATTGAGCTGCAATGAACAGTCTAGTACAAATGTCCTTATGAGAAAAATGATCTTGTTTTTTTTCTTTGGGGTAGATGCCTAGTAATGGGATTGCAGGATCAAATGGGAGGTCTAATTTGGGTTCTTTAAAGATTCTCCATACTTCCTTCCAAAAACGTTGTATTAGTTTGCAGTCCCACTAGGAGCATAAAAGTGTTCCCTTCTCCCCACATCTACACTAGTATCTGCAGCTTTAGGACTTTGTGATGTGGGCTAGTCTCACTGGGGTTAGGTGATATCTCAGGGTGGTTTTGATTTGCATTTCTCTGATGATCAGGGATGATGAGCATTTTTTCAAATGTTTGTTAGCCATTCGTCTGTCTTCATCAGAGAAGGTTCTGTTTATATCTCTTTTCCAGTGATGGATGGGATTGGTTGCTCTTTTTGTTGTTGTTGTTGTTGATTAATTTGCGCTCTCTGTGGATTCCAGTTATCAACCCTTTGTCAGATTCATACCCTGCAAATATCTTTTCCCATTCTGAAGGTTGTCTTTTTGCTCTACTTGTTGTGTCATAAAATCTTTCCTCATTCTAACATCATCTAACATAAGAGTTTTCCCCACACTTTATTTTAAGATTGTTATCATTTCCTGTCTTAAATTTAAATCTTTTATCCATCTTGAGTCAATTTTTATAAGTGGTCAATGGTGTGGGTCTAGTTTCAGTCGTCATCTTGGCTATTTGGCATTTGCCTACCACTTTTGAACTTCTCTCAAACTTATGTTTTTATTTTCTTTGATTTTTTTTTATCTTCTGCCAATTTTAGAATATATTTGAATCTCTCTAAGTGTTAACAGTTTTACCTCTTGGAACCATTATTTGTTTCATATGCTGCATCTATGCTGTAGTAGAATTCTTTATTTTGAGGTTTTTTCCAATTGATAGGAACACTTCTTAAAATAATTTTAAGGGAGTTTATAATACCTGAGTCCCTGAATATACTAAAATATGAAAAATCGTTCCATTGTCCTCACATGCGATGGACAGCTTGACTGGCTTAAAATTCCTGGACCACCTGCTCCCCCCTCCCCCGCACTGCCACAAGACACATTGAATGCAAATGAAATATTTAAAATAAAATTAACCTTCAGGAGTATCTAACATGCTACGGAAACAGAGAAAATGGATCTCACCACCATCTGGAGAATGGGTAATTGGTTGACTTCAGAGAATGCTTAGGGGGGAATGTATATATGAAATGCTCAGTTAATTTTAAAAGCTTAGAAATATAGGTACTTAAGCTATTAGAAGATATAATGTTCCTGCCCTCTTGTCCTGTCTCAATCCATCATTTTAAACCAACAAAGGAGAGTGAATAAACAGAAACATTAATTCTCTTTTTCTAGGACAGTAGACAATAACGGATAAGAAATAAAAATATATCTTTGGAGAGAGAGCAGTGGTGACCTACTTGACGTAGTAAAAGCAGCTGCAACATGTGGTGCAAACAGAACACCACTGAGTGGAAAGTGGACTTGCCTTGAATCCTCAGAGGCTCAACGCCTGGCAGCAGCAGACAGCAAGGAGGGATCTGGGGTGGGGGATGCAGGGACCCTGGGTTCCTCTCCCTCTGCACAAAGCCAGGGCCTTAGGCTGTCTCTCTGCCCACCGGAAGAAACAAGAGGTTTTCTCTAGGAATTTAAAAAGAGAGACTCTAGATTTAGGGACACTGGAGAGGAAAAAGTCCAAGTAGAGGACTGAAAACAGGGCAGTGATGTGAGAATCTGATCTCTGTGCTCAGCACCCAGGACTCTGATTCCCACAAGCCTTTCCAGGAGGAAGTCAGAAGATTCTTTTCTAAAAAAACAGAAGGCCCAGAGAAAGGATGCGTAAATCCTGGCTTCTCCGGGTGGGTGGAGGAGGTGCAAAGTGAAGGGATCCATTTAGGAAATCCACTGATCTACCAGCCCTGCCATTTCATTGGTTGTTTAGTGCCATATTAATAAATGTGCAGCCGACACCAAAGATTTTTATCATTTCATGAAAAAAAAGATTTAAATCTTTTATCCATCTTCAGTCAATTTTTGTGAGTGGTGAATGGCGTGGGTTGAAACCGCTCTGCTTCTTCCTCCTTCCACCTTTCTTCTACCTCCGTTAGTCACTATCCTGAATTTGGTGTTTATTGTTTCTATATATTCTTTACACTTTTCTATATATGTTATACCCATAAGTCACACAGAGGAATGTTTGTTAAAACACTTTTCATGAGTGGCAACACACTATCAATATTCTTCTACAACTTACTTTTTCTGATCAATATTACGTGTGAAGTTCATACATGTTTATACATTTCATTCTACATTTGATGTGCTTTCCCTCTTCTAGATCATTCTTTAGTGTGAATGAATGTGCCATGCTTTAAGATCCACTCACCATACATGGAGAAATCTAAAAACAGGCATTTCATCAAACACCCTTCTCAGTGTGTCGGTGAGGGTGTTTCTGGATGAGATTAACATTTAATCAGTGGACAGAGTAAAGCAGATTGTCCCAATGTCCTCATCCAATCAAAAGAAGATCTGATTAGAACGAAAAGGTCTGAGTAAGAGGGAGCTTCTCATGCTCCACTGCCAAATGCCGTCTTTTCCTGCATTTGGACTTGAACTGAAGCACTGGCTGTTTTGAGGTCTTGAGAATGCTGACTTTGGGGCTAGAACTGCCCCTTTGTCTCTTTGGGGTGTCTGGCTTGTTGGCTGCAGATCTGCGGACTTCTCAGCCTCCATAATCTCATGACTCAATTTCTTAGGGTAAATCTGTCCATCTATCTATCTATCCATCCATCCTATTGGTTTTCTGGAGAACCCTGATATAGCTGTAATATAATATTGAATTATTTTTCTACGGCTATTGATGGGTCATTGCTTTAATGTATTAATATCATAGGATTCATTTCAAAATTTTCTAGTTTGGAAGTATTCCTGAACTTCTAGGAAGAACACTCTCGTTGGTTATGATGAATTATTCTGTTTACATATTACTAAATTTCATTAACTACTATTTATTAAATTTTTGCCCCTATGGCCCTCAATAATATAGGCCTATAATTTCCTTTCATCACTCTGTGCTCGTTTGTTTTTGATATTCTGGCTGCACTGGCCACATAAAAATGAGTTGGGCAGCTTTTCCCTCTTCTCTCTTCTTGTTTTCCAGTTTGCATAGGAGAGAATTTGCTTTAGAGTCTTCAGTCGTGATGTCCCCTATGAAAACTGAGGTTGTCTGTCTACATCAATGTGGGTCTGGTGTTCTTAATGTCAACATGTGTGAAGGATAGAATTTAGATCGTAACTTTATTTAGGGGATGTTGGCTTATTTATGTTTTTCTATACATTCTGAAATTAATTGGTAATTTATATTTTTCTAGAAATAGTACATTGAATCATAATTTTCAAACATACTGGTTTAAATGTGTACATAATGTTTTAGCTGGTTTTTAAAACTCTCCATTCTCAGAAATGGAGTGGGAAGGGAGGGGAGGGGACAGGTTTGATAGAGGGAGGGTAAATGGTGGGACCACACCTATGAAGCATATTGCAGGGGTACAAGTCAAATCTATCAAATATATAACATAAATATCTTAACCCAATAATCTAGTAAATGAGGTGAAAGCTATATTAATTAGTTTGATGTAAGCATTCCAAATTGCATTAAAAAATCAACACATTGTACCCCACATATGCATAAATTTATTCATGATCTATGTGTATATGATTTAATAAAAAAAATAAAACTCCCCACTCTCTGTATCTCTGATCATGCCCCTTCTCAAACATATTATTTGTCTGTCAGTCTTTTTCTCTTTCTCTATTAATCAATTTTTCCAGGCTTTGTCTATTTTTTTATTCTTTATCATGTTTATTGAATTGATTTTATGAAACTTTCATTTAAAAATCTTTTATTATTGATTTTTACATTTCCCATGGCACCTTCCTTTCTCCATTGGGTTTATGGACTGATGGGGTGGGTGGCTGGGAATGTGGTAGAAGGGGGATCTTGGAGCCTAAATCCAAAGCCTGACATCAAATGTGAAACCATAATGTTAACCTGTTCCAGGGTAATTGATAAACTAAGATGAAATACAAGCTTTGATTTTGACAAAAAGAATAGTTTTGGATATCTAAAAACCTTAGTTTTGTTGTTAATAAGTTTAGCCATACTTTCAGAATTTATGATGCAATGACAATACTCCTAACTCTTCTTTGTCAAATTTAAATTACATTTCATCTTACTGTTTCAAATCACTTAAGGCAGATCCCAATGGGTTAGGCAATAAGGGTATTTTCTTATTTCAAGGAGGTGTCATGACTGTATGATTAAAATATGGGCAACATTTCTCTAAATAAAGAAATGTGATGCTTATCAGTGATGTCTTCACCAATAATCTCAAACCTGATTGGTTCAGCAGTTTAGACCATTTCAGAGCCTGTTAATAGGCTAATCTCAGTACAGGTGCAAACATCCAGAGCAGTGGCTCCCACCAGAGGGCCATGTGGGGATTACTTCCAGTGTATTTTTGAATCCAAATGCAGACACTACTCTTAGAGATTCTAAATGTGATGTGCACCCCAACTGAAAACTACTGATGACTATGAACTAATTCAAACAAACAAACAAAAATCTTTAAAAAGAGAAAATGAATTTTGAAATTTCAGCCTTGCAGGAACAATATATGTTAGAATGTTAGATGTGCAGATATTTGATTTATAACGAATATCCTATAAGATCACACTCAGATTAATACCCTGCCATCCAAATGAAATACAATTCAATATGCATTTCCTCTCAGCAGAACTTAGTGGGAAATAAAGCCTACCTTGAGAGGCTAAATATTGTTTATTGAATGAAATGAATTGAGTACAATAACATTTTTATAGGAAACTTTCCTAGCTTCACTGGCATGTGCTTTTGATCTCAGAAATTTGTTTTTTTTTTTTTTCCAAAATAGAGCCAATGGTATCAAGAAGTATAGTGTGCTAAGAGTAATGTGTTTTCACAAAGACATGAATTCAACCTGCCCTAATTTGGGATATTCAGACACATACATATGTGTGCTCACACACAAACCACTTATGTTCTCATGTCGTAAATTATCTCTAGTTGACATAGAATTCATTTTCAAAGTGATTTCAACATGCTCTTTCCTCACGTAGTGTAAAATGTAATTGTCTAGTTACTGAGGAGAATGATTGTGAAAACAATAAAGAACGATGCCAACAAATTCTTATGCGTTGAAAAGTTTATTATAAAGCAGAGAGGTAACAAAGCATCAGAAACTCACTCCAGGAGAAAATATAGGATCTGAGGGTGTAAAATGTGCCAATACAGGGTGTGCAGGTAATGTCTACCTGTTTAGGAAGGATAATCTGGAGCCCAAGAGTGATAAGGAGAATGAGAAATTCAGAGGATTGGAATAATTTCTTAGCTAGAGGGCTACATATTCGTTTATAGCATATTTGGTGCCAACGTTGGAGGGCAGAGCAAACAAGGGAGGGAGTTTAAAATGGACCAGAATGTGCTCACAGAGCCAGCGGGATGGTGATGGGCTCACTGGCATCATGAGGTCCATCTCATCGAGTGACAGCACCCTGACTCTGTGTGTCCTAATGGTCAGCACAACTGTGGGGACAGAGGTGAAGGAAGAGGTGGGTCCAGGGCAGCAGGCTCAGCAGCAAGAGGAGGCGCAGCACAGGGGCCGGGGGCAGGTGGAGATGACGCAGGTTGGGCGATAGCAGGTGGTGTGGCAGGAGACTTGGCCGCAGACTGGACGCAGGCAGCAGCAGGGGCGGCAGCAGCTGGGCTGGCAGCACGGGGACTGGCAGCAGCTGGACACACAGCAGCTGGGGCGGCAGCAGCTGGAGATGCAGCAGGAAGGCCTGCAGCAACTAGAAGGGCAGCAGCTGGGGCGGCAGCAGGTGGTCGGACAGCAGACTGGACGACAACAGCTAGACACACAGCAACTAGGGCGGCAGCAGCTGGGACGGCAGCAGCTGGGCTGACAGCACACAGACTGGCAGCACTGGGGCCTGCAGCAGCTGGACACACAGCAGCTGGGACGGCAGCAGGTGGTCCTGCAGCAGGTGGTCTGGCAGCAGCTGGGTTGGCAGCAGGTCTCTTGGCCACAGCCCTGGTCAGAGCAGACAGAGCCACAACAGGAGTTGACCATGGTGTTAAAGGGTGGAGGTTCTGAGTGAGTTTCTAGGAGAGTGAAGATCTTGGATCTGGAAGTCTTCTTGGCCCCTCCCCCCTTTATACCCAGCTGAAGGTCTTTTGTCACCACGTCATTATTTCCTTGTTATTATTTACCCTCCTGGAAAACTTAATCACTTAATTACGTAATTACGTGTTTCTAGTTAAATATTCCCAAATAGAGAAAAAAACACATTTCCCTTTCCTGGTGTGCTCCTGTATTTCCAATTGACACACTTTGTGATATTTCTTCCTTAGTGGGGGACACCTTTGTTCCTGCCTACACGTGGTCTTTTACAAAGCACATGACTCTCTGATGTTTCGGTTTTAATTGGGACACTTCCTTCTATCTGTACATTGCTCCGTGAAAATCACAGGACATGGTTTTCCCACACGTGGTTTCTTTTGTTGTCAAAGAATGTCCTGATCAGGCGAAATGTTGGAAAGAAATGAGAAGGAAAAACTCATTTGAGGGAAGGATGTCCCATCTATAGTCAGGATGACCATGATCCCATGTGGGCATCTCGGATGGCCAGGGAGATGGACAGACCCCAAAGAGGATCTGAATTCCATGTCATATGTCCTTTGTGGCAATGACTCGCTGCTTCTAAAAAGTAAAAACACTCTTTGCTATATGTCTTCTGGGACAGGCAGTAAGAGCAGGAAGTTTTGATTTATCTTTGGATCTCCAAAATCACACAACAGGGACTTTTATCTATAGACGCATTTGTTATATATAATCAAGATTTAGAATTACTAAGCCTCCAATTATATGCATCCAAGATATTCTGTTGACCACACTGGATGCAGAACAAATACACCCTCTTCTCTTTGCTTTAGGTACTTGAATAAAACATACGCATAGGAAACAGTTTGGCAAAAACTAAGGGAATCATGATTATTTTCATTAAACAATCAAAATTAAAATATACGGTAAGTAGAGATAACGACCATACATGCTCAGTGTATGTGGTATTATTTAAGTGTTCGCCATGTGCTAGGCATTGTGCTAAGTGACCTTTCATTTGCTGTTTAACTCTATGACATAGTGTCTATTCTTACTATTCTTTTAGCTGAGGACTCAAAAGAAGCACAAAGAGGTTGAAACAAACAATTTGTCTGAGATTAAAGAGAAAGTAAGCTTAAGTCTTAATGTAGCCCCGAAAGGGATGAAGAATGTAACTTGCAAGGTTTGCTGAAGCTGTTTCATCTTCTTGGAATGTTTCTTCTCTCTTGTCAGTTCTGCAAACTCCTACTCACCTGTCAAGACCCTGTTTTGTTTTGTTTTGTTTTGTTTTGTTTGAGACAGAGCCTCAAGCTGTCCCCCTGGGCAGAGTGCCATGGCATTACAGCTCACAGCAACCTCCAACTCCTGGGCTCAAGCGCGTCTCCTGCCTCCGCCTCCCAAGTAGCTGGGACCACAGGCGCCTGCCACAACGCCCAGCTATTTTTTGGTTGCAGCCATCATTGTTGTTTTGGCGGGTCCGGGCTGGGGATTTGAACCCGCCACCTTAGGTGTACGTGGCTGGCGCCTTAGCCTGTTGAGCTATAGGCGCCGAGCCAAGACCCTGTTAAGATGCTTCCTCTTCAATCATATCTTTCCTGTTAATCTCCCCATTTATGTATAATTATTCCCTACGTTGTGCTGCTAATCTGTCACATTCTACTGTGTCATAGTTATTTCCTCCTGTCATTGCAAATACCCTGAAGGCATGGGCTATGGCATTTATTTTTGTTACCATGGTGTTTGGCACAGGGCAGGGGACCCAGAACACTGGTGATAAATGTTTGTGCGGTGAATAAAAACTTTTTGATGATATAGAGTCGTGTAATGGTCCTAGAAAAATATGTGACTTTTGACTTCTGGAGAAAAGAGTGGAAAACACCCCAAACAAAGGGATTGTAGTTCCATTTGAGGAAAACTACATTTATTTATGCAACATGTCATCTGCTCAATCACATATGTGGAAAGTTGTGAGAATTCAGATTCAATTTGTAGAATGAGATGTGTTTACAAAAAACCATGAGTACTGTGCTTAAGACGCAAGCCTGTATTCACACAGAAAAAGATATGAACAGGGGTGGTGCCTATGGCTCAGTGGGTAGGGCACCAGCCCCATATACTGAGGGTTGTGGGTTTGAACCTGGCCCCAGGCAAACTGCAACAAAAAATAGCCGGGTGTTGTGGTGGATGCCTGTAGTCCCAGCTACTTGGGAGGCTGAGGCAAGAGAATCACCTAAGCCCAGGAGTTGGAGGTTGCTGTCAGCTGTGATGCCACAGCACTCTACCGAGGGCGATAAAAGTGAAACTCTCTCAAAAAGAAAAGAAATGATAGAAACACTAGAGATAGAACCAGATGGTAACACTGGTTCTTCTTCCTTCTTCTTCCTCTTTTTTTCGCAGTTTTGGCCAGGGCCAGGCTTGAACCTACCACCTCCGGTATATGGGGCCGGTGCCCTACTTTCTGAGCCATAGGTACCACCCTCACTGGTTCTTCTTTATCTCCTGACTTCCCAGATTTACTCTTGTTGCTAGAAATAATTACTATTACCACTATGATGTCAATAAGCCAAAAATATTTTCTGGATGCCCATGGTCTTGGCTTGAATTCTTCCCAGTGCAGACCCCGAAAGAAAGATTGGACTGCAAATAGTTTACTTAGGGGAAGGAGCCCAAGAAAGAAGGGGTGATCCCAGGAAGTTTATATAAGGAAATAGAGAAAGTAAGACAGGAAAAAAAGAAAAACTTCAACATTTTTATACTATTAATGGGGCTACCACTGTGGGCAACTGAGAAATAAACAAACCATGAGGACATGCCTTGGCTAGGGGCATTTGGCTGCTGTGATTGTATGTTTAGGAAATCTTAGAGAATCAAGCAAGCATTGGTATTAATCATGAGGCCAGATAAATGACAAACTTATGAAACTTGATAGATTTCTTATACATCAGCAGTACTTCTTTATAAATTATAATGGGAACAAAACGTACTCACAGTTCTCAACAATAAATATAAAAATATGTAAGTAAATCTGCTAATTAATATACCAGCCTGTATGCAGGAAAGTGTTAGTATTTTCTGAAGGATATAAGATGACATTTGAATAAATGCCAGAATAAGAAATGTACAACAAATGTCAGGTTTGTGAAAAATATATACGTGTGTTATAAATGCATTTAATCAGGATGTAGCTCAGTTTGTAGCAATCGGTCTTGAATGAGTTTGGCAAGGACTAATGATAGGAAATTTACTAGTAGTCGTGTACTCTTGGTTTTGTTTACGTTTGTAAAGAGCATGTATTTACGTAAAATTCACAATTTTCTCTATAGATTCTGTTAAATATGTTTCTGCTATTCTGTTACTACTCCAATTTGCCAGGCACTAAAAGAACATTTCAGTCGATCATTTCAGCTCACAAATTAGCTATTCTGAATTTCAGACTGGTTTGGGGGACAGGTTGGGATCCCCAGGAAGCAAGCACGGGCTTGGAAATCAGCATGCAGAAGATTTATCGAGGAATGCTCCTGGGCTTCACGCTAGTGGAAGGGATGGGGAAGAAGCAGGAGTGGCCACTGGGAGAACTAGAACTGGCAGGTGGTCTCAGTGGAGGCCTCCACGGAACCCACAGGGAGTTCTGAAGATGGGATGATTCGTTAAAGGCATTCTTAGTTGGGGAAAGAAATGTAGGTCTTTGCAGTTCTATCCTGATAAGAGGGGCATGACCTTGGACAGAATGAAAAAGAAACCAGTCTCCGGCAATACCTCTGAGCTGGCACCAGCTCTCCTTCCTTCATTTAAAGCACCCTGGCCTTGACTCTGGCCCCTCTACATGGCGGGATGAGCTTTTCCCCCTGCAGCTCTGCCAGTCAGAATAAAGTAGATCTGCTATACGTGTGGAGAAAACGCATTGCACACAACTGAGTAGACAATGCATAGATGTTGCTAGGCCATCTGTTAGCTGCTTCTGTTGGTGAAAAAATGTGAAAGATGGGATTTTAAAAGATGATCCATAGTAGGGATGAGTACATTGGATACTTTTTCTTCCATTCTTGAGATACTTTGCAAAGAAATATTTTCCAGCTCCATCCATGTAAACATGAAGGAGGTAAAGTCTCCTTCTTTCTTAATGGCTGCATAGTATTCCATGGTGTACATATATCACAATTTATTGATCCATTCATGGGTTGAAGGGCACTTGGGCTTCTTTATTGTAGTGTGATTTTTGGTCTTCTGGATGTATACCTAATAGAGGAATTATAGGATCGAATGGCAAGTCTATTTTTAGTTCTCTAAGTGTTCTCCAGATGACTTTCCAAAAGGAATGTATTAGTTTGCAATTCCACCTGCAGTGTAGAAGTGTTCCCTTTTCTCCACAACCATGCCAGCATCTGTGATTTTGTGATTTTGTGATATGGGCTATAACTCAATTTTAGCCCAGAAATATGGGGAGAGGAAGGGGGGGAGGGAGGGTGATTGGTGGGATCATGCCTATGGTTCATTCTATAAGGGTACATGTGAATCTCTCTAAATGTAGAATATAAATGTCCTAACACAATAACTAAGAAAAAGACACGAAGGCCATGTTAACCAGTTGAATGAAAGTATATATCCATATTGTATATAGAAACAGTACACTGTACCCCATGATAGTATTAACGTACACTGCTATGATTTAATAAAAAATAAATAAATAAAAGATGATCCATTGTGTTCCGTCTTTCCAAAATTTTTCCCTATACTATACTCATGAATACACCATGACTTTGGTTTCACTCTTTTGTTTTGCAAAGACTACAAAATAATTAGTTAATTTGCTTAAAACTAAAAGACTTCTCTAGAGAACTCTAGGCCGTGATCAGTGTCAGCTGACTTTTGTTGGAAGGTTAAGTAGTATGTGCTGTCTTCCCTACAGGTGTAGGCAAACTACAATTACCTGGGACCCAAATCTAAGACATTTTTAAAAAGAGAATAATCATCACACTCAATTTTCAATGCCAATAGGATAGAAGTTTATTTTGATAACATGGAAATAGCAAGGTACAAAAAGTCTTTGCAAAGCACTATAGGGGATATTTCATTGGACTTCAATGTCCAAGGGCTTAAACTATGTGGTCCTACAAGGGATGGAGACAATCTTCGAATTTCTTAAGCAGGATGAATGAACAAAAGGAAAAATGTTTGGGGAAAATAATGTGAGTTTATTAGAAGATTCTCGATGAGTTCATTTGGAAGGCAGGGAGTTTGGGCAGAAGTTAGAATGCAGACATGTAAGCCCTAAGAGTAAGTTTTGTAGGATGCAGATCAATTCTCTTGAGCACGTCACATTTTTTAAAAGAAGGTCTTAATCTGTGGGAAAGGAGTTGATAAGGAGGGGAATGCTCAAAGCAGAGACTCAGCAGCAAGAGGAGGCGCAACACAGAGGCCGGGGGCAGGTGGAGATGACACAAGTTGGGCGATAGCAGGTGGTGTGGCAGGAGACTTGGCCGCAGACTGGACGAAGGCAGCAGGTGGGCTGGCAGCACTGGGGCCTGCAGCAGCTGGGGCGGCAGCAGGTGGGCTGGCAGCACGGGGACTGGCCGCACTGGGGCCTGCAGCAGCTGGAGATGCAGCAGCTGGGCTGGCAGCACTGGGGCCTGCAGCAGCTGGACACACAGCAGCTGGGGCGGCAGCAGCTGGAGATGCAGCAACTGGGGCGGCAGCAGGTGGGCTGGCAGCACACAGACTGGCAGCACCGGGGCCTACAGCAGCTGGACACACAGCAGCTGGGGCGGCAGCAGGTGGTTCTGCAGCAGGTGGTCTGGCAGCAGCTGGGTTGGCAGCAGGTCTCTTGGCCACAGCCCTGGTCAGAGCAGACAGAGCCACAACAGGAGTTGACCATGGTGTAGGAGGGTGGAGGTTCTGGATGTGTTTCCAAGAGAGTGAGGAGAGTGTTCTGAGTTCGAGTTCTCCTTGCTCCCTTTTATACCCTGCCAAGGGCTCCTGTGACCATGTGAAGAATCTTCTTGCTGTTGTTTAGACAGTACTCATAGAAAATCAGTTAGTTTTAGTAAATTAGATAATTGTGCTTATCTGATAAATATTTCTATATATAGAAAAAGCATCACTCACTTCCTTTTCCTGCTGTCTTATGAGTATCCAACTTGGTTAAGCCGAGTGAATCAGCTCCTGTTCTTCTTGGTCTGGTATGTCTTCTAAAGTAGATCTATTACCTGACATTGTTTCACAGGACTTCAAAGGTGCTAATACTTCCTGTATGTATTTAACTTCGGGAAAATATTGGAGAATAGATTTTATGATGACTAAATCTCCCGTGCTGCCAAAGTGGTTTAAAGTAAGTCATATGGAATGTTGGGAGATAAATAAGGTAAAAGACCCATCTTTAGGTAGTGAAGGGAGATGGCTTGCATGCAAGGAGGAATACCTGATTCCTCCGGATGTCCTAGATGGTCAGCCAGATGCAAAGTCTCCCCCATGAACTTGCTATCTGTTCTGTCTTATTGAATCCATCCAATGTGAAACAGTTGCAATGCAATGAAACATTACTTTCAAACAGTGAAAACACATTGACATGGTAGGTCCTTTTAAAAGTAATTGAATTGTTGTTGGCCTGTTCTTCAGAAATAGAGTATCATGAAGGAGCATTTTGACCCATAGTCTAGTTAAGTCCACTTACCCAGTGAATATGTATAACAGAAGTGCCACTGAAAGTATATTTCCTCATTTTCTGAGCTATCATCTCTTACACGTTGGACATGTTTTACTTGACTCAAGGAGAAATAAAAGTTAAACTTTACTCTCTGTCCAACAGACACTTAAACAAAGCAAATAAGACACACACATAGGAAGGATTTTGGCAACTATTTAGAGCATTGTGTGATTAGTGAACAAAGTAATACTTATAAATGTATTTAAATCTGTACGCTGGCTTCGAACGATGAGATAATACTAACAGTTACAAACAGGCAGGAATTTTCTAAGTTCTCTGTAATTGGCATCCTGTTTATAGTTCCCAGGGACTTTATGAGGTGGTCCAGTCATCCCCAACCTTTTTGGCACCAGGAACCAGCTTCACGGAAGACAATTTTTCCATGAACCAGGGTAGGGGGGTGAGTGGATAGTTTTGATATAAATCAGTAAGCAATTGATTTATTATGGTCTTTGTGTAGCCAAACCTCTCTGCTACTGATAATCGGTATTTGCATTCACTCCCCAGCTCTAACATCATTGCCTCAGCTCCCCCTCAGATCGTCAGGCAGGAGATTCTCACAGGGAGCACACCAGCTAGATCCCTTCTATGTGCAGTTTACGGCAGGGTTCATGCGCCTATGAGAATCTAGTGCTGCCGCTGATGAGACAGGAGACAGCCTTTGCCCAGTGGTGTGGGCACCGGGGAGCAGCGGAAGATACAGATGAAGGTTCAGTCTCTCACCTGCCACTTCCTTCCTGCTGTGCAGCTCAGTTCCTAACAGGCCATGGGTTGTCCTGGTCCATGGCTTGGGGGTTGGGGACTACAGAGGTAGACAACAATTTTTCTTAATTATTTACACATGAGGTACTTGGGGCCCAGATAGACTGAAGTCACATGGTCAGTGAGGAAGGTGGTTCTCTCCAAGAATGTTCAGGAAGGTATGAAGAATAATAATCCTGCACCATGCTTATATCATCCTATTTACCTAGAATATTGCTTTCTCTTTCGTCAGCTTACCAAACTTTTGTTCATATATAAATGTCATCCCAGGTACTAACTCATTTCAATATCTTTTGTGACATCTGCTATATTCAAAAGAAATCTTTCCGTCTCCTTTCCTCCAAGATATGCCTCTGACCAGGGTATCACACTTTATCATAGTTGTTTTATATCTCTTTTTTCCTAACCCTTCTGTAAACTCCATGAAGTCCGAGACTACGGCTTATTCATACTTATATATACGGTGCCTAGCAAATGGCCTGAGTGTAGTTAGTTGAGTGAATGTAAGATGTATTGAAGACACAGGGCATTTACTCACCCTTTAACATACTATGGATATTCCTAGAAGGATGGAGAAGAAAATAAAGTGGCCCATACACAGCCCTATTTTGAAACTAATTCATAGCTTTTATAGGAACGTCATAACCTAATTATAGCCTTAGAATAAGGGAAGGGGGTGCTTTTGTTAAAAGCAAGTCTAGAAAGGATCCGTTAAGTAACTTAATTGCTTAAGTAACCAATTGATTAATTGGAGTCTATCAAAATTAAAATGTTTCACTCCCAAAACACTGTTTATGAAATAAAAAGTGAGCCTCAAACTTGGAGAAAATACTTTTAAAACATAGATCCAACAAAGAAAATGCATATAGAACATATATAATTCTTATTGCCAAATAATAGTAAGACAAACAACCCAGTAGACAATGAGCCAAAGCTTTGAACAGACACTTGTATGTCTGTACACTACTTCTCAGCCATAAAAAGAAATGAATTATTGGGCGGCACCTGTGCCTCAAAGGAGTAGGGCGCCAGCCCCATATACTAGAGGTGGCGGGTTCAAACCCGGCCCCCAGCCAAAAAAGAAAAGAAAAAGAAATGAATTATTGACACACATAGCTTGAATGTCAATATAGTTATGCTGAGTGAAAAGCCAGGCAAGTTAGAGTATAAAATATGTGATTCCATTTATATAAAATTCTGAAAAATACCAATGAATTTATAGTGACAGCATATCAATAGTTATGTGGGAGCAGGGAAAGGGAAGGAATTATAAAGGGGGGTGCAGCACGTTCATTGTCTTGTGATCATGTTGGTTTCATGAGTATACACGTGTATCGAAACATCATATTGCGTACTTTAAGTACATACAGATTACTGTGTATCCATTGTTCCTTAACGAAGCAGAAATTTTAAAAAAATGACAGTGTAAACCATGATTTGTTTTTTGTTTGTTGTTTTGAGACTAAGTCTCACTTTGTTACCTTCAGTAGAGTGCCCTGGCGTCACAGGTCACAGTAACCTCATACTCTTGGGCTTAAGTGATTCTCTTGCCTCAGCCTCCCAAGTAGCCCAAACTACAGGCACCTTCCGCAAAGTCTGGCTATTTTTAGAGACAGGGTCTGACTCTGGCTCAGGCTGGTCTCAAACTCATGCACTCAGGCAATCCACCCGCCTCCGCCTCCCAGAGTGCTGGGATTACAGACATGAGCCTCCGCACCGAGCCCATGATTTGTTTTTATACGGATCCATGGGCGTGGAGGGAACAGAATGAAGAAGACAGAGGTGGGGCTGGAAGTCTTGGAATAGACCTTACTCTGTAGCTTTGACTGTCGGCCCATGTAAATATAAACATAATTAAAACTTAAAAAATCTCTATACAGCATTAAAATCACTACCACAACAATGGTAGTGAAGTCCAAATACCTAACTGTATTTCCAGGTGTCAGTCTAGAGAAAGTAATTATCCCAAGACCAAAAAGGTTTTCCCCAAGAACTCATAAATGGTCTTAAGTTTGTTTTCAGTAACCATGTTGTCGTTGTTAGTATTGGCAGTGTTATTCTAAGACTGTTGTGCAAACATTAGGTAATAAAGAAAAGGACTAATTACACTGGAGGACTGTTATGTTTGGCATGGCAGAAGGAGATTTGTAAATAAGGTACATAAGGTTAAGTAAGAACGCTGGCATTATCACCATGAACTCTGGTGTAGTTTATCTTTTAAATATTTTTCCAGCTGTGGAAACTAAAAAAGCAGAGGGAATATAATTGACTTAGTAGTAATGAGCATTCTTAAATTTCAGTTTACGGTCTCAAATACCATTTTTCACTAACATAGACTGGGATTTATTGGAGAAATGGCTCACTTTGTTGCAGAATATTACAGAAATATAAATGTGTCAGTTACATGGATTGCTTTTGCACTGAGTCAAAGTTATAAGTCTGCCCATCATCAGATAGTGTCCATTGTAACTGTTAGGTGTGATCTCACCTACCTCCCCTCTTCTCCTTCAATTGATTTCAACTGAATTATACGTTCATCTGTGTACATGAGTGCTGACTGGTTAGTTCCAATTTAATAGTGAGGACCTGTGGTGTTTGCTTGTCCATTCTTTCCATACTTCACTTAGGAGAATGGGCTCTAGCTCCATCCAGATTGTTACAGAAGATATTAGTTCATTTTTTATGGCTGAGCAGTACTCCATTTTATTAATCTACTCATGAATTGATGGGCACTTGGGTTGATTCCAGATCTTTGCAATTGTGCTGGAATAAACATTGTAGTGCAAATGGCTTTTTATAAGTCTGGAGAAGGAAATGGACAGAGACGTCTGGGATAGCTCATTCTATCAAAGATTCTTTTGTCTGCAAATTAGATTCACATCCAGAGGACTCAGAGGCTGGCTTGAAGTTACTTATTTGAACTTCAAAAGGAATATAAACCGGAACACACTGATCCCCCCATTGCATATATAGAAATCCATGAGTTCACATGAGATTTAAAAACAAACAAACAAGAAACCAGTTTTGTTCACCTTTGGTGGATGCAAACTGGGTAATAAAGAGACAGGATCAGGCATTTGTTTTACCTTTCTTGTAACACTATCCCCAAGGTAACTAAACATTAAGGAAAGGAAGTTTCTCTATGAGATTATTCCACTGGTAAATAGCAAAGGCAGAATAGAATTGCAATATCACCATTTGCTGTGCCTAATGAATCAGTGACTCTGGGCAACGATGATCAACAGCTGCAGACATCACATAAAGAGCAACAACTGGATGCCGTGTGCCTCCCAGCAGAAAAGCACGCTACTGCCCATGAAGTAGTCTTTGAGTCCTGCAGGTCTTTGGGGTGTAGCCTCCCACGAGCAGGTGCAGCACTTCTCTGGGTGAAGTGTGCAGGAACTGAGCTCTAGTTACTGGTGTGTGGCAAAGAGGAGAGCTTGCCTTGGCTTTCAAGATTCTAATCATCTTCAAGGAAAAATGGGCAAGGGTTTAGACTTCAACAGTGGGGACTGGACCCCCCTCTGCAAGCCCTGCCTGGAGAAGATCTATGATCTTCTATGCAGCCACTCGGACATTCCCATCCCATGTCTCAGGGTCCCATTCGTTTCCAATTAGGGCCTTGATCTCGGCCTGGGCAGAGTTGCCGAGGCTGAGAGCACAGTCATCTCTGTCTGGAGCTCTGTACTCTTTTCCTAAGTCCTAGGCTTGGTCCTCGGCTTTCTCTGTCCTTTGGCAGCAGGAGATGAGAGTTTATAGGCTGTCGTGAAACCTCTGCCTTTCATATCTGTCTTTCTGTTGCTGATTTATCACTTTTAGCCTTTTGTTATATTCTCTTAAATCATCAGTTTCCCCCAGCTATAGACGTCCAATTTTCTTAGCCTTATACTATATACTGCTTTCGTAGATAGATAATGACAAAGATGGTGTCCTACAGAATATCAATTATTTATGGTTTTTCCAAAACAAATTTTTAATCTTTGAATTCCTTTGATTTTTGTCTTAAAAACTCAAGAGACTGCTACTGGAAACTGAACTGTGCTAAATGTGGCTAGACCTCCACTATAAAACTGGTCAAACTATGTTGTCTGTCTTACCAGTGTAAGTAAAAATACAATTGCCCAAACCGGATAGAGAATATTAAAGAAAAGTAAAATCACACTGAATTTTCTAGGAAAAGTGGTGCTTTATTTTGGCATGGAGATATAAAATAAGAAAACTGGGAAATAAAAATTATAAGAGAACTTTAGCCAGGTAAGAGAGAGAGACTATAAAAATCCACAATGCAGAAATATTGAAGTAATAAATACGGTGTACTTGATCTTGACAACCTGGTGTCCAAAAGTCAAGATGGAGAATTTGGGAAGAATTGGCCAGGTCATCACAAGAGTTGGTATATTATGAGCAGTTTTATGCTTGGATGGGAGGAAGAGAGTTGGACCAAAGCCAGGTTGCTCACAGAGTTAGGGTCCTGTGATGGGCTCAATAAGATTGGGAGACCCTACTCATTGAGCAACATCAACCCGACTCTGTGTGTCCCAACCTAATGGTCAGCATATCTGTGGGGACAGAGGTGGGTCTAGGCAGCAGGCTCAGCAGCAAGAGGCGCAGCACAGGGGCCGGGGGCAGGTGGAGATGACGCAGGTTGGGCGATAGCAGGTGGTGTGGCAGGAGACTTGGCCACAGACTGGACGCAGGCAGCAGCAGGGACGGCAGCAGCTAGGGCGGCAGCAGCTGGGGCGGCAGCAGGTGGGCTGGCAGCACAGGGACTGGCAGCACTGGGGCCTACAACAACTGGACACACAGCAGCTGGGGCGGCAGCAGCTGGACACACAGCAACTAGGGCGGCAGCAGCTGGACACACAGCAGCTGGGGCGGCAACAGGTGGGCTGGCAGCAGACTGGACGGCAACAGCTGGACACACAGCAACTAGGACGACAGCAGCTGGGCTGGCAGCACACAGACTGGCAGCACTGGGGCCTGCAGCAGCTGGACACACAGCAGCTGGGGCGGCAGCAGGTGGTCCTGCAGCAGGTGGTCTGGCAGCAGCTGGGTTGGCAGCAGGTCTCCTGGCCACAGCCCTGGTCAGAGCAGATGGAGCCACAACAGGAGCTGACCATGGTGTCACTGGAATGAGTGGAGTTCCACAAATGTGTTTGGTTGGGTTTCCAAGAGAGTGAGTTCTTGAGTTTGAAAGCCTCCTTGCTCGTGTCCCCTTTTATACTGCACGGGTGTTACTGTGAGCAATACTTTTACCTTGTTGTTTTCCTACTGGGAAATCAATTATAGTATATTATATTGTAATTATGTTTATCAGGTTAAATACGCCAATATCTAAGAAAAGCCTCATTTCCTCTTTCTACAGTGCTATGATTCACTGTGTCTTGTGAGGTCATGTGAAACCACTTTCATGTTTCTACCTGAAAGTGTCTCGTAAGTGGATAATACCATATGGCGTCCCATCACCGAGCTTTTACCTGGGTCGCTCTTCTTTTTGTGCTTGTGCCATTTTGAGGATGGCTCTTGCAATGTAAGCCTCGAGAGCAGCAGTTCTCAACCTGTGGGTCGTGACCCCTAAATACATCCTGCATATCAGATATTTACATTATGATTCATATCAGTAGCAAAATTACAGTTATGAAGTAGCAAGAGAAATAATTTTACGGTTGGGGGCACCACAACATGAGGAACTGTATTAAAGGGTCGCGGCATTAGGAAGGTTGAGAACCACTGCTCTAGAGCATGCTGAGGCAATAGGAAAGAGTCATCGCTGGAGTTACCTACCGTGTGCGGTAGGGGAAGACGGCAGGATTGCCTGTTTCCTGGTTGACTGGAGAGGCGTGCACGTGCCAGACACCTCCCATTCAAATTGTGATGATTTGGTCCAAAAAGTCAGCTCTGAATCATTCCTTCACAGTAGTAAAGACCCATTTAAGGAAATAAACTTCTCCCAGGAATCCTTTCCACATATAATACGTGACAAATGAGTGGGTGTATTCTGTCTTATGACAGGCTAATGTCTGCAATAACTTCTGCATTTCATTTGAAGCATCTTTTTTTTTTGGATTCTTTCAATAATGTGAGTTCAAAACATCATGCTTGGACAAAGAGGATCTAAACCAGTGTTGTTAAACCAGCAATTTTCAACCCGTGTGCCGCAAAAATTTTTAACCATCATTAATACACTTATTTTTTTTCCCCCTTCAGGAACGGAAAAAAAAAATATCCAATGAACTTATTTTTGAAAGAAGTCCGAAGCACAGTAAGTAAATTATTTTTCCTTTTTTTTTTTTTGTTTGATCAGTATCATTTTAGTTTGCTACTGAAGTTTAACTATAGGTTCAAGTGTGCCATGAGATTAAAAAAAGGTTGACAAACACTGATATAAACAGATAAGCCTTATTTTTAAGTACCTATTGTCATTTAAACATGTTATAGTGAAAGAAAAGGTTTTGGTAAATATTCTAAGTATCATACAATTAGGGTCCAAAATAAGTGGACCCTACTTTTCACTTTTTTTCGGTGGAAAAAAATGAGATGATACACATAGCTACTATTTTTAAGTACTTGCCAAGGGCCAGATCGTCTATTAAATGTTTTGTTAGTATCGTCCTGGTTTTTCTTCTCCAAGAATCCATGAGGTGTTCACTGTTCTCTCTGTGTTCACCTAGAAATCAGCTAAGGTTGCTTTGTCCTGTAATTGTGCACAAAGAGTAAACAATACTTCTCCGCATCTCTGTGCTGTGACATCTCTTCTCCTTAGAATATTCTTTCTTCCACGTTGACTTAGCAAATTCTTGTTCCAGCCCAGATAGGCCCTCCTCACTGATGTTTTTCTTGACCTGTACTTTTATTGAAAACTCACCCTCTCCTCCTTTGTGCCTGACGGTATACTGGTGAGGACTCTAATTCAGCCCATCCCACTGTCACCTGAATGCGTTTATCCATCCGTCCCCAGTGGGATGATAGACACCTGAGGTGAATGGTTTATCCATATCTTGTTATCATCCTGCTTGGGATCAAACACATCATCAACATTTGGGGGTATTCTTATTTCCAGAAAGGATTTTTATAATTATGTAAAAAGTATTTAGGATTCCCAAATAAATTCTACCAAATGAGGCAAAATTCAAGGAAGTTTTGCTTTTATTTCTGTTCCTTCCATGTATTCATTCCCTCCTGTTTCCATTAACAAATCTTTTTTTTTTTCTTTTGATTCAAGGTTTTCTTTCACTTTGTTATTTTAAATACAGGGTGGGTGTAAAAGTTCGTGTGATATAAATAGATAAGCCTTATTCTGAAACAGTTGACTATTATGTCCACCCCGTGTAAGTGTACCTGTATTTCCATCTTTTGTTTCTTAGATAAATGGTTGCATAGTGTACACACTTTGTTCCAACTCTCTTCCTTTCTCTTGTGGGGACACACATTTCCTTCACAGCAGGATGTACAAGTATTCCTCATTCCATTTTCAGCCACAAGCAATTCCATTTTGTGGATATAACGTAGCTTAGTGTCACAGACACCTGACTCTAAAGAGGAACTCCACCACTCAACCTCATTCCTATATGAACAAAAGCACAAACAAAAATACCGTGTGCGAACCTGAGTGTATAAATGTATAGGAAAACATTTAAAAGCAAACACAGCAGTGATTTTCATTGATGACCTCCACTAGGATGTAGACTCCATTGGTGTAGCAAATTTTGTATGTGTTGGTTGGTTCCTGCAGTTACCCCAATGCTTATAACAGGATCTACCATGTAGTCAATGCTCGGTAAATAATAATTATTTTTTAATTAAATCTTAACTGTGTACCTTAATGCATTTATCAGGTATAATGTGCTGATTTTATATAAATGTGGAATGCTTACATCAAACCGGTTGACATAACCTTCACTTACTTATTTGTTGTGGTAAGACATTTGTAGTCTACTCTTAATAGTTTTGATAATGTGCACATTAGGTAAGGTCCCGCCAAATCCTTCTTAAATGAATGAATGAAGAGATGGGTACATGTGAGACTCACTTTTCAGTAAGCCCACCTTTCCACATGGAAACAGTTGGCTGAGCTCAGTTAGATTTTTTTTTAATTAAATCATAACTGTGTACATTAATGCAATTATGGGGTACAATGTGCTGGTTTTATATACAATTTGAAATGTTTTCATCAAACTGATTAACATTGCCTTCACTTCATTTTCTTAGTTATTGTATGAAAACATTTATATTCTACACATAGTAGATTTAACGTGTACTCTTATAAAATGCACCATAGGTGAGGTCCCACCAAGTACCCTCCCTCCATCCATCCTCCCCCCTTTCCTCCCTGCACTCTCCTCTTTCCCCTTCATCTTGCACTATAGTTGAGTTATAGCCTTCATATGGAAGTGTGGGTGTTCATAAATTGGTTTTATATTTGGGCTGGGTACATTGGATATTTTTCTTCCATTCTTGAGATACTTTGCTAAGAAGAATATGTTCTAGCTCCATCCATGTAAACATGAAGGAGGTAAAGTCTCCATCTTTATTTAAGGCTGCATAGTATTCCATGGCATACATATACCACAATTTATTAATCCATTTGTGGGTTGATGCGCACGTGGGCTTCTTCCATGACTTAGCAATTATGAATTGGACTGCAATAAACATTCTGGTGCAAATATCTTTGTTATAACGTGATTTTTTGGTCTTCTGGATATATACCTAGTAGAGGAATTGAAAGATGGAATCACAGGTCTATTTTTAGATCCCTAAGTGATGTTCAAACTTCTTTCCAAAAGGAACTTATTAGTTTGCATCCCCACAAGAAGTGTAAAATTGTTTCTGTTTCTCCACATCCACACCAATTTCTATGGTTTTGGGATTTTGTGATGTGGGCTAATCTTACTGGAGTTAGATGATATCTCAAAGTGATTTTGATTTGCATTTCTCTGATGATTAAGGATGATGAGCATCTTTTCATGTGTCTGTAGGTCCTGCACCTGTCTTCTTCAGAGAACTTTCTATTCAAATCCCTTGACCACACTGAGATGGGATCACTTGTTCTTTTTGATATGGTCTCCCTGGCTGCGTTTTGCCAGTTTCCAGCAAACCGCAAAGTCTTCTCCGGGATCTACCTCACTTATCCAGGGGACTGTCTGCCCCTTGAGTTTATTTGGATTTAAAATCTTTCTATTAAAAAGTTACGGAGTTCCATATGGTTCTCCCCTCCCACCCTGGCCCCTGGTCCCAGCAGCTCGGGTGGCAGGAGGAGTGCCCCGCCCAGGCAGCGCAGCTTTGCAAAGGTGCCAGGTGCCGAGTGGGCAATGGGCACATGCCCTGCCTGCCGCCAGGACGCTGAAGAGGAGGGTCAGCTCTGTGGAGGCACAGATCGGTGAGTTGCAAAAGTAGAAGTGAAGCTGGAAAAGACAGCAGCAAAATCCTCAAACAAAAAAGTGCACCCCAAAGGGCAAAGGAGAACAAAGGGAAAGCAGGCCCAAGTGGCCAACCAAGAAACTAAAGCAGATTTACCTGCAGAAGATGGAGGAACTAAAACTGAGGAGAGTCCAGCTGCTGATGGGGCAGGAGAGAAAGAAGCTGTGTCCGGTTAACATCCCACACCATGGCTTAGCAGTGGTCCCTGTCCCCTTCCTGTACAATCCGGGGGAATATTTTTTATCAACTGTTTTGTAAATGCAAGTTTTTTAGTAGCTCTAGAAACATTTTTATGAAGGAGGGAATCCCATCTCATCCCATTTTTTAAGTGTAAATGCTTTTTGGTAAGAGGTGAAATCATTGGCTGGTTGTTTATTTTTTGGTACAACCAGAAGGTAGTGCAGGATGTTGAATTATTGTGTGTGTGTGGGGGGGTGGGGGTTGACTGTCCTGGGTGTGAGCTTAACATTCCATAGATGGAGGTTAGTTTTTATATCCTATAATACAGAGCATACTAAGTGGCCATATGGAGTCCCAGTCCTGCATTTAACGTCTTGAACATTTTAAATGACAAACATGTAAAATGTTGGTTTTTCCTAATGAAAACCACTCCCGTGATCATGGCTCCCCGTGTCAGAATTGTGTTCACTCTGTACCTTCTTTGGTTGTGGCACTCCTCTTTTCCTAGTAACTTTGTTAATGTGTGTGAAGACTGAGAATTTCGGTATGTAGCATACATGGTAATAAACTGTGACTTGGTGGCACTTACGTAACGGCTTATCAACATTTGAAGACGCTGGTCCTTGATGTCCTCTTAAGGAAAATTTGCCTCCAAATTTTAATCTGGAAAGTCTCTGGAATAACTTTTAAAAAGAATTATAATAATGGCTTCTTAGATTTGGGGTACGTATGTTAAGAATTGTGGACAAATGGAAATGTCTGGCCTGATGCTCGACACAGCCAATAAAATCTCAACTACAAAAGAAAAAAGTAAGTCATGGCGGAGGTCCTGTTGTAAGTAGGGATCAGTGCCCGCTTGCTGCGTGGACAACCTCTTTATTGTTGAGGACGAGTCTGAATACCAAACACACAGGATGTCTGCTGTTTTGCGTGAAACATGTATGGTGGTCTTTTTGCTTTTGTATTCATGGAGCCTTCCAAGTATTTATTTTTCACGCTTTTGTTCTTTTCCTAGGATGGATTCATAGGGTTAGGTGACGTGTTGATAAAATAATAAGACACCTAGGAAAAAAATATCATGCAGGGAATAATGGAGTCTCACGTCCATTGAAAAGTGACATCATCATATTGTGTGCCCTGAAGTTGTAGGTCAAATACACTTGTGTAGAAACGGAAGACAAAATCTTAAGGGAATAAGGACCACGCTGAATTTTCAATGCAGGAAAGTGTAATTTTATTTTAGTATAGAAAAACAGCAGGTTACGAAACAGTCACAGGGAAAGAAAGTCAGGAGAATGATGTTACCCACTGATAGTATGAAGGGTAAGATCTGATACTATATATGTGCTCCATGGAATAACCATCTTCTTAAACAACATGATCCAGCTCCTTATGGCAATGATGAGGCCCAGGCCAGTTGAACGACATCAAGCCAACTCCATGTGTCCTAATGTTGAGCACACACGAAGAGTCTGAATCAGTAAAGAAAGAGGTGATTCCAGGGCAGCGGGTTCAGCAGCAAGAGGAGGCACAGCACAGGGGCCGGGGGCAGGTGGAGATGACACAGGTTGGGCGATAGCAGGTGGTGTGGCAGGAGACTTGGCCACAGACTGGACGCAGGCAGCAGCAGGGGCGGCAGCAGGGGCGGCAGCAGCTGGGCTGACAGCACGTGGGCTGGCAGCACCTGGACACACAGCAGCTGGGGCGGCAGCAGGTGGGCTGGCAGCACAGGGACTGGCAGCACTGGGGCCTGCAGCAGCTGGACACACAAGAGCTGGGACGGCAGCAGGTGGTCCTGCAGCAGGTGGTCTGGCAGCAGCTGGGTTGGCAGCAGGTCTCTTGGCCACAGCTCTGGTCAGAGCAGACGGAGCCACAACAGGAACTGACCATGGTGTCAGAGAGTGGAGGTTCTGGGTGGGTTTCTAGGAGAGTAAGTTTCTTGAGTTTGGAGTCTCCTTGCCACAGGTCCCCTTTTATACCCAGCTGTGAGGCTTTTATGATTATGGAAAGACTATTTCCTTGTTTTTGTTTATGTGACACAAATACAGTTAATTAGTTATATCATTATATCTTTCTAGTAAAAACTCCCAATACATAATTATTTCCCTTTCTCAAGTTCTCACATGAATCACCTCATGTTTTCATGTTTTTCTTCCTTCAATTTCATGGTCACGTGATGTCAGTCCTGGGTATTATGTGACTTTGGAAGGTCACTGCCTTCTGTGCGTTTCACCTCGAAATGATCTTGAAAGAGCTTATGACAGAGCTCGGATTCCTGGTGGAGAAATGCGTGTCTCAGTCAGAGGGAAAGCTGGTCAGGAACAGGAAAGTAAGTTGCTGCTTTCGAGTGTGAGAAATGAGGAAGCTTATGACTCACTGTGTATATTCTGGGTGGTTATTGAGCTAACAAAGTTCCCAGGACATTCCAATCTGTGTTAATTCCCATCATCCTGGTACACCTTGAAACAATTATTAGTGGCTCAATGTTTTTAAGGAGCAAGGAGTCATGTGGGATTGATCTGTGTCTAACTTGAGAAATGTCCTCCAGGCTGAGATAATTGGGAGGATAATTTTTGACCTGCCTTTTGAAATATAAAAGTCTGTGAGTTCTGCTTTTTTGTCACTTTAGTTAGTGGTACCTTTTTCCTATACTCGGAGCTAAAATGTCTAGCATTTTTTATACTTTTACTTTCATGCCTAAGATGTGTTTTGGAAGCACTGAGGGGAATATAAACAAAAGCAATCAGTGGGACCTGGTTCTGTGTACCCTCAATGAATCCTCAGCAATACAAAAAAAAAAAGACACCCTCCTTGCCTTACGTGTCGGTACACAGAGGTTGCATCCGTGAAGGGTTTTTATAATCATGCGATTATATTTCTAAATAAAGGGTCTTTTTTTTTTTTTAAGAACAAATGACTTTCATGATATTCTCTCTGCCTGAGGGAGGGTAGGTTTCTTTTTTCTTTATGGTTTCAGGTTCATTGGGGGTATAATGAATCAGATTACATAGTTTACATTCATTAAGTAAAGCGCCTTTTATAATTATGTCCCACTCCAAAGATGTGTGCCATACACCCTAACATCGTGCCCATTAAGTAAGCGCCATTTTTCTCCATATCTTTCTTGGCCTCATGCAAAGCAGAATCCTCCCACAGCTCTTCCATTGTGCCATATCTATGGTCTGCATCGTCCGTTGCAAATATATTCTTCTATTGGCTCCTTCCAGAATACAAGCTCCATCAGGGCAGGCGCTATGCTTTATTCATCTTTGTAAAACGAGACCTGAAGTAGAATGAGTTTTGGATACAAGAGACATCTGTTTAATGAATGAAGATTTTGGTAAGGCTTCCAAGAGGCACACTCTGACCTTTGAGAATACAAGCCATGCAAATGGGTGGAGAGAAAGAGGATGCCAATGAAGGAGCACATGGCATAACCCCCTCTTATGATGATGAAGGAACATGCTAGAAAGTCTGTTTTGAGAAGCAATGAGAGATAAGTTGAGATTGTAAGAATGTGGGAGATATTGCCGGTAGCCTTGAATCCTTTAAGAAATAGTTGGGAGATATGAAAAGTCTTTGGATAGGAATGTAAGGCAATATATAAGTTATACACAATTTATTTTAATTTTTGATCTGCCTTTTGAAATTCCAAAACACTCTTGGGTTTTTGGGGAGAGATGGTGTTTAAAAGATTGGACGGAGGCAGGGTAAGGCATGAACTCTGAGCATCAGGCGATGGCAAGGAGCATAATAAAGATAATTTGTTATCTTTATTACAAAGTAACACATTCTTATTACAAAATACTAAAATTCTATAGAAAAGGAATCAGCAGAGACTTAGAATAAATTGAAAATAGAGGCATAAAAAGGGTTTTGGGTAGAAGTTATAGGCAATATCCCAATTTGACTGTTTACATACTCAAGTTTCAGTGTCTACAATTTATGCCCCCATGTCCTTAAAGCCAATAATTTGAAATCTTAAGGGATAAATAAATCAAAAAGAGTAAGTTGTGCCTAAAAAAGAAGACCCTAAAATAAAGAAGACATTTAGAAATATGGGAGAAACATTTACATCAAAAGGCTAGGATGGGGTATTTGGCATAATTGTGTACTACCTGTAACTGTTCTCCCAGGAACCTAAGCAAAATGAAACCACAATGGGTTATGGAATTCCTGTTCTTTCTTCCTTCTCCAGGCCCTGAATGTTGTGTGCTGAGCACTTTGCTGGATGTTGGAATAGCAATGTAACAACCAATGTGTTTTGCATTTGTTCTAGTGCTTCACACATGAGCTTATTTACCAGTCCCAACAATCCATTGTGATAAATTACATTATAATCCCCTTTTTGCAGATGAGGAAACTGAGGCCGAGGAAGGCTTAAAGCTGGTAAGTAGGGGAGCTATGATTTGATCCTAGCCAGCCAGACACTGGTTTCTTTGGGTTTTGTTTGTTTGTTTGTTTTCAGATTGATATAAGGTTATAAATGTTTAGGTTACATTGTTTTTATTTGTAAGGTTAAGTTCAAGTTGCAACTGAGCTCTTCACCCAGGGGGCGTGCCGAACACCCTCATATTGTGCATATTAGGTGAGATCGCACCAAATACCCCCCCTTCTCCCTGGTCCCCTCTCCCTTCCTCTCTTTCCCCTCTCACTAGACTATACTTATGTTTTTCTTTTGTGTGGGTGCAAAATTGTTTACATATTGGTTTCATATTAGTATTGAGTACATTGGATACTTTTTTTTCCTATTCTTGTGATTCTTTACTGAGAAGAATGTGTTTCAGTTCCATCCAGGTAAACACAAATGATGTAAAGTTTCCATCTTTTCTCATGAGTGAATAGTATTCCATGGTATACATTAACCAGTTTGTTAATCCATTCATGGGATGATGGCCACTTGGATTGACTTTATGTCTTGGAATTGTGAAGTGAGCTGCAATAAACAATCTAGTACAAAGGTCCTTGTGGTCAAATGATTTTTGTTCTTCTGGCTAGATACCTAGCAATGGGATTGTGAGATCAAATAGAAGGTCCACTTTTCGTTCTTTGAGAATTCTCCATACTTCTTTCCATAGAGGTTGTATTAGTTTGCAATTCTGTTAGCAATGCAAAAACGTTTCCTTCTCTCCACATCCACACCAGCATCTGCAGATTTGGGATTTTTTGATGTGAGCAAATCTCAGTGGAGTTAGATGATACCTCAGAGTGGTTTTTATTTGCATTTCTCTGTAAGTCTGTTTTAACCACACTGCCCTCCTGTTAAAACAGATGGGAAAGAAATTTTCTATACCCCCATGCTGGTTTTGATGCAAATTTGTTAATTTTTTTTTTCTTTTATGGCTTTCATATGTTGAAAGGCCTTTCCAGGGACATATTTACATGAGCATTGTCCCATAATTTCTGTTAATTTCCAAATTTCATGTTCTATATTTTTAATTATTTGATCCATTAGGAACTTATACCTAACAGGATATGGGGATTAAATGTTTTTTTAATCAGATATGACCATAGCTCAACCCCATTTATTACAATATGCATCTTTCCCCTCTGATTTAAAGTGTCATCTTTCACATACTAAATTCCTTTATTTTCAGTTCACTGATGATTTTTAATGCACTAACACCACAGTCATCAATGTGTGGCATCAACTTGATGTTGATGGTTTTTGAGTCTAAGTCTCCCTCGAGATTACTGCAATATGCAAGTGAACTCAAATATCTCTGTGGCATTATATTTATACTGAGTTCCTTGCCAGGAGAATGTAAATTACACCTGAAGGAACTCGGAAGTTAGCCTCGGAAAGAACACACTGGCTGAGTCTGCAGTGGCACATCGGTCTTGCTGGGTTTGCTGAGCTTTCTGTAAAGTTCTAACATAGCAGGGGAGTTCAGCTGAAGCAATCAGAGAAACCACTTTGTTTAATCGCCCACGGCCTACTGCTAACCTCCAGGAATGTCTTCCTGACATACAAGTTAGTCAGGACTGTTAAAAGGGAGCTGATGAGATTTAAAACTCTTGCTTCAGCACTTTCCTTAATCAGAGCACTTTCCTTAATCTCTTGTTGCCCTCCTGGAAGACTGTATTGCTTAGTGTTTACTACCAAGAAGGGCTCGAGGAATTCTGAAAATATATTTAGCATGGCCAAATAAAACTGAGTGATGGGCAGACCTAGGGGATGTTTCATTCACTTAAAATTCATTCCCGCTATGCACGTAGGGGAAGCTGATGCTATGGCAAAATAACCATCCTGGTGACAGTTTCCCATTTATAACTTTCCCTCTGCTTTAGTCTTCTCTACCACCCTGTCTCCAGAATCACTTTCCGAGCACCAAAACTCTCCCTGAAGCTAGTTGCCACACCTGAGCCTCTGCAAGTACTAATCCTGGGAATTTTCTCAAGCCGCCCTCTGGCCTTGTCACCCAATCATTACACAAGCCACCAGACCTGGGATCTCCGTTCCTTGTTATGCGCCCTGGACACTGAGCTTCCCCTGGCTGCTTTCCCTAAACTCCGTCTACACCCTTGCACACAGCCCCTTTATTGTGCAGATGCGGCCTGCCCGCTTATTCATCCCGTTCTTGTAAACACAGGAAATGACAAGCTTCGTCTATTTCAATACTGGAAGAAAAACAATAAAACTTATATCGTTAGATTTACTCTAACTAATAAAGCATAATGTTGAAACGAGAGCCTGTATCCTGTAATTAGCAGTTGTCCGTGAGGACCATATGAGCAGATAAAAGATTTGTTAATTCTGGTGTCTGAGATGGCAAGCCTGCACTCTGTGGAACAATTTAGAGTAAATAGGAAAGGATGAAGCTGAAAGTTTCTGCAAGACATTTCCATGATACACTAAGAAGGTAGCACCTGGCCTATGTTAACTTCTACTCCTGTTTTCTCTTGGTAACATAAAACTTTTTTTAAGTTTTAGAAATAACAGGGAACTCTCGGTTATACCTGTTACTTCGAAATAGGACACTGCCAGTAAATAGGACTGATATATAGAAATTTTGAATTTAAAATATTTTAATGTATTTTGGATTATGGAGCCAAACTTAGAAACTCATCTATTTGTGTTCAGTATGCTACATTGCACCTATCGTGATGTGTTTTCACAGAGAAGTGGGATCATACTTACCTGGCTTTGGTAATGAGAAAAATGAATCTCAAAGTAATGTCCTCTTCACGTTCTCATAAGTAAGACCCAGCAAAGTGACGAAAGCCCCAAATGGGGAGAGTACAACCATCAGGAGATGGAGAAATCTCGGTAACATTTCTGAGAAAGGATAAAAGGATATAGATGTTTCAGTCTAAAAATGATTTTGAGCATTTATTAGTCAAAAGATATAAAACCGTACGGCAGATTTACCACGGATGTCATACATTTGCAGAGATTTTAACTTAGAAGGTACACTTTGTATTCAGAAAGAGAGTTTCATGTGTAGAGAGAAGGGAAGAAAGGGGGAAAGGAAAGAAAGAAGGCAGGCGGGCAGGTGGCTTAGAAGGAAGGGAGAGAGGATGGAAGGAAGGAAAAAGGACTTGAGCTAGGTAGAGCGCTCGAAATTTACACAGCTAATGATGGAACAGTGAAAGTAGGAATAGAATCAGGTGAAATTTAGATGGCTTGACGATGCTCAGCTTGCTGGAGTTTATAAGGGACATGTGAGGTATATACCAAAACTTAATTTAGAGTTGTAGAGGACAGCGAAAAGAAATGTACAAGTTTTCTAGCTGTTCTGCAAAGAGAACACCAGGCTAAGATATTATTCTGGTGCAGGGTAGTGTTTCAACAATGATAACAATCAAAACTGCATTTGCTGAGAGCCTGTACTGTGCTATGTGCCAGGCCCTGAGATAAGCATACTACATGGATTATGTCTTCTAACCCTTGAAGAACATAATGTTTTATCCCTATTCACAGAAAAAAATTGAGGCCTAAAGAGGTAGAATAACTTGCCTCATGCTGCAGTACAAATGCTACAAGGAGACTTGATCCCCATACAGGTAACACGAATCAAGACCCCAGGCTGATAAGCTCGCCCTCCTACGTTTAAAGAAAGAATGCCCTTGTTGTGAAGTGACAGGTGAAGATAGACACACACACACACACACACACACACACACCCCAAATCAATAACAAATTAGATTTCAATACTGGGAAAATGGCTGTTTGATGGCTGCTTATTAATAACATGGAAGGAACATTATATGAGGTCACCATAATTAGAGTCCATGGGGAATGAAGACATCGCCTATCTAAAAACAGAGGCATTGAGCTCTGGATAAACACCTTTTAATGAATGTTTTCACATCTGCTATTTCCTAGAAGAACTAAATGCCAACTCTGAATGCCACATCAGAAGAGTTGGCAGGTTAGGAGTTGTTGTCTCCAGCCACTGTCTGCCCGCAGTGCATTTTGTATGTCCAGTGAGGACATGCAGTGTGATGAAGATTACAGGCAGCAGGCTCAGCAGCAAGAGGAGGCACAGCACAGGGGTCAGGGGCAGGTGCAGATGATGCAGATTGGGCAATAGCAGGTGGTGTGGTGGGAGACTCGGCCACAGACTGGACACAGGCAGCAGCAGGGGCTGCAGCAGCTGGACACACAGCAGCTGGGACAGCAGCAACTGGGCTGGCCGCATTGAAGCCTACAGCAGCTGAGGTGGCAGCAGGTGGTCCGGCAGCAGGTGGTCTGGCAGCATCTGGGCTGGTAGCAGGTCTCTTGGCCACCACTCTGGTCAGAGCAGATGGAGCCATAACAGGCGCTCACCACAGTGTCAGAGAGTGGAGTTCTGGGTGGGTTTCCAGGAGAATGAGGTTCTGGAACTTGAAGTCTCCTTGGGCCTCAGCCTCTTACATATTGCTCTGTTGCGTGAGGGTTTCGGGAGAGGCAGGCAGCTTCATCAAAGGTGTAAACTCGCTGCTGGAATTGTATGAGAAAGAGATAGACTACTCACTCTGATGGAAAGTAGCAAAGCTTTATTGTTCCTGACCATCTTTTATAGTTGGCTGGTCAAGTACACTTTATTAATTAACAAGCAAAGCATTCTTACTACTAATCTTTTCTAAAGTTAGTTCAACCTTCAAAGAGACACAAAGTTTGAAAACTCGAGACAGCTGCAAAAAGGAGTACATCTAGAGACTTGAGATTACCAAGAGGGGAGTAAAGCTTTGTAGTTTTACTATGCACTCATTGTATTGCAGAAAGCAGGCTCCTGTTTCTATGCAACCTGGAGGCCACACTGTTTCACGATAAGCGCATATACACCCATCAACCTCTAGGCTGTGTCTCTGCAGGAAGGCTTTTAACCCTTTCCTTGCAGGCTTAACAGCCACATAGCCAGAGTTACTGAAGGTGGGTTTTTGGGTCCAGACCCTTCAGACCCTGCCATGGGGTCCGAGGTAACCAGGTCTTCGACAGAGTTGCATTCCACAAAAGTCTGTCTGCCTGCTTCTGGAGTTTAAAGTGAGCACACAGTATGTGGGGTTTTATCCCACATTGCTCCATTTTCCTGTTACCAACACCTTTTCCTCATTTGTGTTTACAAAACAGCCAGGTTACACAAGTGTATTTGTTGATTTAATGGCTTACACTTGTTAGAAACACAGTTTTCTTCTCCAGATGTAATAGTTTCTCTCTCACCTCCCTTTTCTCCTGATTCACACCTTGACAGCATCTCCTAGACCACGTTTCCTTCCTCTACCTCTGCAGAGGGCTCTCGTGGGACCCTCCTCATGTGCAGTTACATTTCTTACTCCCCTCCCACCCCTACGGGGATGGGGTTGGATAATCATTCTCCTGGGTAAGCATTTCTTCCAGTGAGCATGGGAGGAAAACCTACCAGCTTATTGGGCTCCTGGCCTGGGACAAGAGGAAAGGGCCTGTTCTGTGGCTCAAGTTTGAGAATGGAGGAAGGAGTCAGTTCTATGTGTGTGACCTTGGTGACCTCTGCACTGTTACCATGGTTTTCCCTGGATGTTTCAAACTTTGGGTAATGTTCTACATCATGGGTCTGATTCATGTTCTGCCTAAAACTCTGGAAGGCAGCTTCCCGGTATAGTTGGGGTAACTACAAGATCCTCACTTTCTTCTGTTGCTGCTTTGCTGTCTTGTACGGTTTTAGTATGTCGCTACTGCTGTTCACTTAGTGTCCGGAAGACATAGCTTCATTTGTGTTCCTTACTTCATTCTATTTTTTGAATGTGTAAAACTGTCCCTTATCATCAGGCACCTGTGTGTATTTATTTTATTTTACTGTTTTACATTTTCAAGCAAGTGTACACTTACATACGGCTGTGACAAATAGTCCCGGGAAAACCTGTCTACCCTCCACCCGGGCTACCTACTGGTAACATCTGTGTAATAATTTCAAGGATACATCCACTGCCTATGCTATCTTCTATGATGTTCTAAATTAAGTAAAGGCTCAAGTTCAGTGAAGGATTTTTTTATCATTTATTTTTAAGATGGATGCATAATATTATGTGTATTTACCATGTACAACATAATATTTTGAAGTCTATAAACATTGTGGAGTGGTGAAGTTGAGCTAATTAACAAATGCATCACCTCACATAGTTACCATTTCTGTGGTGAGATGATTTAATAGTCATTCTCTTAGCATTTTTCAAGAATACGATATATACAATGTATCATCATTAGCTATAACCACCCTGCAGCAGCAGCAGACCTCTTACGTGTCTTCCTCCTGTCTAACTGTTCATGCATCTTTGGACCAACATCTCCTGTGGCTCCTCCTCCCTAAACACCCCTGCCTCTGGTAACCTTCATTCTATGCTCTACTTCTGTGATAAATGTTTTTCTGGATTCCACACAGAAATTAAAATCATGTGGTGTTTGTCTTTCTGTGCCTGGCTTATTTCACTTATACAACATCCTCACGTTTCATCCCTGTTGTCATAATTTTCCTCCTTTTTATGGCTAGTATTTGGAGTATATTATGGAGTATTATTTCGTTGTATATCCGCATTACATTTTCTTGGTCTACTCATCCACTGATGAGCAATTCCATCGTTTCCATATCTTGGCTGTTGGGAATAGTGTTGCAATAATTATAGGAGTACAGGTAATCCTCAGCATCCTGATTTCATTTCCTTCAACTATATGCTGTACCCAAAAGTTGATTGCTGGATCTTATGACAATCCTAGTTTTAATTTTTTAATGAATTTATATGTTGTTTTCCATGATGGCTGTACTAAGTTACATTCCCAACAACTGTGTGCATCCAATTTTTAAAAAGTACAAAAGACTAAAGAGACATTTATCAACATACAAGGCCGAGAGGTCTTTTTTCCACATCCTCATCAGTACTTGTTCTCTTTCACCTTTTTAACAATATCCATTCTGATAGGAGTGAGCTGATATTCCTTTGTGGTTTTAATTTGCAATTCTGTGATGATTAATGATTTTTTCCTATACCTCTCGGCCTTGTATGTTGATAGATGTCTCTTTAGTCTTTTGTACATTTTAAAAATTGGATTATTTGCTTTCTTGCCATTGAGCTTCCATATATTGGATGTTAATCCTTATGAGATGGATGCTTTATAAATATTTTTTCCCTTTCCTTAAATTATCTCTATACTCTTTTGATTGTTTCCTTTGCGGTGTAGAAGCTTTTTAGTTTGTTGTAATCTTATTTGTCTAATTTTCCTTTGGTTGCTTGTGTCTTTGAGGTTGTATATAAAACACCATTCCCAAGAATGCCATGAACCTTTTCATATAGGTGTTCTTCTAGTAGTTTTATTGTTTTTAATTTTACATTTTAATCCTTAATCCATTCTGAGGTGAGTTCTGTGTACGGTGAGAGATAGGAATTCAATTTCGTCCTTCTGTGTGTGGATCTCTAGTTTTCCTAACACCATTTATTGAAGAGACTATCCTTTCCTCATTGTGTATTATTGGCCTATTTGTTGAAAATCAGTTGGCTGCAAATGTGTGGATTTATTTCTGGGTTTGCTAGTCCAGTCCATTCATCTAGCCAGTACAATGCTATTTTGGTTACTGTATCTTTGCTGTGCATTTTGAAGTCATTTTTAGCTTTATTCTTAATGCCCAAGTTTGCTTTGGGAGTTCAGGGTCTTTTGTGATTTCATACAGATTTTAAAGTTGTTTTCTATATTTTGGTTAAGAATTTCATAGGCATTTTGATAGGGATGACTTCAATCTGTAGATTGCTTTGGGTAGGCAGAATCCCTGTTCAGGAATTCTTTTCCATTTCTTTGTATCTTCTTCAATTTCTTTCATCAATGCCTTATAATTTTCTTTATTTTATCTTACTGAGACAGAGTCATATTCTGTCACCCTGGGTAGAGTGCCATGGTATCATGATAGTGAACAGCAACCTCAAACTCTTGGCACCCATCATAAAAGCTGGCTAGGCTTTTTTTTTTTTTTTCTATTTTTAGTAATGAAAGGATCTCACTCTTGCTCAGACTGGTCTTGAACTCCTGAGCTCAAGTGAACTACCTGCCTCAGCCTCCCAGAGTGCTAGGATTACAAGTGTGAGCCACCATGCCTGGCCAATGTTTTATAGTTTTAAATGTAGAGATATTCCTTTGTTAAATTTGTTTCTAAGTATTTTATCTTTGTAACTATTATAGTAATGAAGTATGAAAATGATCCTGAAAATATAGTCCTTTTGTGATTATTATAAATGATAATTGTTTTCTTGATTACTTTTTCAAATAGTTTGATATTAGTGTATACAATTGATTTTTGTATGTCTGTTTTGTATGAGACAACTCTGCTGAGTTTGGTTTCTCACAGTTTCTTGCTGGAGTCTTCAGAGTTTGTTATATATAAGATCATATTGTCTGCAAACAATGTACCTTCTTTTTTTCCAATTTGGAGTCTTCAGAGTTTGTTATATATAATATCATATTGTCTGCAAATAATTTACCTTCCTTTTTTCCAATTTAGATGTTCTTATTTGTTTCTTTGGCCTACCGTATGGCTAGGATCTCCAGTACAATGTTCAGTGCAAGTGGTGACAGTGGACATCATTTTCGTGGTACAGATATTAAAAGAAAAGCTTTCAGCTTTTCCCCCATTCAGTCTCCTGTTAGCTGTGAGTTTGTTATATGTGGCCCTTATTATGTTGATTTGCTACAAGTTTTTATCATGAAGAGATGTTGAAGTTTGCCAGATGTTTCTTCTGCATCTACTGAACTGATCATATGCTGTTTGTACTTCATTCTGTTAAATGCGATGTATCCTGTTTATTGACTTATGTATGTTGAACCACATTTGTATCCCTGGGATGAATCCCACTTGATCAAGGTGAATGATCTTTTTAGTGTGCTGTTGAAATGATGTTTGCCAGCATTTCCTTGAGGGATTTTTCATCTGTCTTCAAAGGAGCACTAATTTTCTTCATAGACCCGTAACTTTCTTTTCTATTGTTGCAGACAATATGATCTTATATATAAAGACCCATGGTGTCTTTATTTGGCTTCAGTAAAGAGTAGTACTGGTACCATAAATGAAGTTTGGAAATGTTCCCTCATTCTCAATGTTTTTGGAAGGGTTTGATAAGGATTGGCAGTAATTCTCCTTTAAATGTTTGGTAGAATTCACCGGTGACACCATCTTCTATTGGGCTTTCCTTTGTTAGAAGGTTATTTATTTTGCTTCATCTTCTAACTCATTCTGGTGTATTCAGATGTTCTATTTTTCATGATTCAGCTGCAGTAGGTTGTTTGTTTCTAGCAATTCTTCTATTCCTTCTAAGTTATTCAAAAATAAGACACACACATGTGCATGTAAACTGGTAAAATCTGAGCAAGTTCTGTGAATTCCAAAAATATCAATTCCTGAGGTCTAACCTGTCCCATTATAGTCCTATAAGAGTGACCACTGGGGAAAACTGGGTAAAGGGTACACCAGACTTTGCTGTATTTTTTCCTTCAACTTCCTGGGAATCTACAGTTTTAAAAAATATACAATTGAGGCTATTTTAAAAGGGAACATGCTTTTATTAGTCTACCAGCCCCCATTTTCTCTTTGCATTTTTAAGACAACCTTAACAAACTGGTATTGTCATTCTTAATTTATAGAAAAGCAATCTTTGGTTGAGAGAGTTTATGTAATTGACCAAGATCATAGTGTGTATCCAGCACAGTCAGAAACCAGCTCCACTTCTCACTTGGTGCAAGTCCACAAGGTGCCCTTTATCCTGAACTTCCTCTACTGTGTCAGTTTAAAGCTGTTCCTGGAATGCAGTTTATTGAGTACTTTCTTTGTGATGGCCATTGAAAACTATAGCTCTCACATCACATGTGTTAGGGTCAAAGATGCCTCTCTTTAGACATTTTCCTGTTTCTGCTGTGACACTGAATTCAGTTTTTTTTTTAATTTTTCCTTCTTCAGATTCATCTATGGAAACCTTGTCATGACTTTTACTTCCTCTAGATAGTCAAGTTTGATCATCTTCTCAGCGTTCCACCAGGGCCAACCTCACTGGGGCCAATCCGTGGGCCTCACCAAACCATCCAATTGGTAGTAGCGACGGGCAGGGTCTACAAAGGGCAGGGACTTAATCAACGCAAGCTTATGACCTGCACTTACTGGGAATTCCTCGTTCATGGGGAATAATTGCAATCCCTGATCCCCATCATGAATGGGGTTCAACGGGTTACCAGTGCCTGCATGCTGAGCCAGTCATTGAAGCCCCAGACATCTAAGGGCATCACAGGCCTGTTATTGCTCAATCTTGGGTGGCTTAACACCACTTGTCCTTCTTAGAAGTTGGGGGGTGAATTCAGGTTTTGATAACAATGTCACTGGAGAAGACCAATTTAATGTTTCCATTGTGTGTTCTCCTGAAAACATGAGCTCTAGTGTTGTGCAGAAAAGAGACAGGAACATTTTGTTAATAATGAGAAATGACCAATTTGGGTGCATTTGGATGCTAAGAACTTTTATTTGGCAACATTGAGCAATAATTCCACATGACAATGGATTCTACTGAAAATGTTATAAAAATATCTATGAAGAGAACATTTGAAGACTCCTGTATTTTGAATCAGAACTAGGAATACTAAAGCAATTTGATGCAGAATCTGGCTGTAAATACTGATTTGCTATAATAATGAAATATACCTACAGAATAGAGAAAATACTAATATAGAAACCAGGGTTTTGCAAATTCATCCATGGGTCTGTTTGTTAAGTCCATAGCCCCAGGAAGTTCATGTCTTCAGTGACTAGATCCTCTCTAACTAGACTAAAGGAAGGGTCATGAAAGTTCATGGATCTGGAGCAGGACACTCAGCAGCAAGAGGTGGTCTGGCAGGTGGAACAACAACAGATTGTTCTATAGCAGGTCCCTAGCAGCAGCTGGGGCGGCAGCAGGTGGTCCTGCAGCAGGTGGTTTGGCAGCAGCTGGGCTTACAGCACAGGGACTGGCAGCACTGGGGCCTGCAGCAGCTGGACACACAGCAGCTGGGACGGCAGCAGGTGGTCCTGCAGCAGGTGGTTTGGCAGCAGCTGGGGCGGCAGCAGATGGGCTTACAGCACAGGGACTGGCAGCACTGGGGC